GGGGGGCTGTTAATTTAACGCGCCGGCGCTCTGTTAAACGTTGGGTGCCTACGGTATGTTTTGACGCAAAGACGTCCCCTTGCATGCACCTTCGACCAATCGCGGCCCCGGAAGTTCAACTCGAACAGTATTCGTTAGCGGCAATTCGGCTGGTCGAGCCAAGCGCTGCTACATGTACAGTAAGTGCTGGTAAACGACAGGAGGAAGCTGCCGCCACCGATACAGTTAAACCGGGGCAAGACAGGATGCCAGCGCAAGCACGAACCGGGGCGGCGAAGGATGTCGGCCAGAGTTTCCGAATGAGGCTTACGGCCGCTGTCTGAGCTTGATAGCTTTTGCAGCTCTCGCCGAGCATCAGCATCAACTGCTGCCGCTCGTGCGGGAAGCCCTGTTTCGCGGCCGGCGTTCACGGCTGTGGTCGGTGGCCACCAGCGATTGGAGCGCGTTAAATGCGGGCTTTGCCAGGTGGTGCGGCGTCTTTGACAAGCGGCCCATGCGCACGAAGCAGCCTTTTGAATCGCAAACTGAAGCAAATAGACACGCTCCCGCCAACTGCAACTAGGGGTGGAGATGTTTTGACTTGATTTCAGTAACGTTTAACAACGAGCGGCGACTGCATATCTTTGCGGCCGCGACGGAGCTGTCGGAAACCCGGCGTCTTCCGAGCCTCATTTCCCATTTGAACGGCTTTCGAGCACACCGACCTACCACCTCGCCCCGCCACCACCATGGCCATGACCGTGCTGCCCAGCTTCCAGACCTTCCTGCAGAACTCGGCCACGCCGCAGCCGCCGTCGCCGCTGCTGAGCGGCGAGCAGCGCCCGCAGAGTCCGCCCTACGGCTGGCACCAGGCCAGCAGCGCCACCGGCATGCAGCTACCCTACAACAGCAACTTCATCTACAACAACAACAACAGCACCAGCTACTACAGCTACCGCCAGAGCTACTCGCCCGTGTCCACCACCTCGGGCTCCGAGACCGAGGACGAGGACATGGCTTCGAGCCGCCGCTCGGGCTGCAAGCGCCCGCTGACCAGCGTGGGCCTCTCGTCGGCACCGCTGTCCCCGTCCACCGCCTGCGGCACGGCCGGCAAGCGCGTCAAGAAGAAATACCTCAAGGAGCGCGAGCGCTGCGAGATCGTGCGTCGCGTGCGCGCCGGCGAGAAGCAGGCCCACCTCGCCAAGGAGTTCGGCGTCTCGCGCGCCGCCGTGTGCTATCTGCTCAAGCACCAGATAGAGATCATGCGCCGCTCGTCGCAGCGCCTCTGAGAGCCGACGAACGCTCGAAGAGCAGCAGCAGCAGCGCGGTAGGATTATTATTATTATTATTGATAGCCAGGTGCATCAATACATTTTTGTGCGGCCAACGTCCAAACTATCGAGCTCCTCCTACTGCATCTTTGTCTTGGCAAGCTCCTTCGCCCGAGCACCTTCCTCCTCGAGCAAGTTGCTCCTCGACCATCATGTACGGCGCTCGTTTAACGCCTGCATACCACCCAACCCAATGGGTGGGGCGGAAAGACACGCTGTTGAATGCGACCGCCGTGTCTTTGCGGCGTGCAATTCCCAGCGGATAGGGAGCGCGTCGATGACGGTCGAGTCGACATTGCCCAAGCACAGGCCCTCCACCCGCAAGCAGGCCTCGCTGGCGGCGGTGCGGGCCGCACTGCGGGGGCGACGTTGGTGGCCCGGAGGCCTGCTTGGCATGGATCACCGTGCTGCAGGGCACGGAGCGAAGGGCTAATTCCGTTTGTAATTCCAAGCGGTTTGAACTTCAACGCGCCAAAGAGGTCGCGTGCGCACCGTATCAATGCACCGCCACACCAATTCATTGAATTGAATTCAACACCAGCGCACGTGGGGCTCACGTCGGGCGCAGCATCGCCGCCATACAAGGCAGTCTTTCATTTTGACGAGCATGGATTCATCGCCCAGTTAGAACTTAGCCGCAGGCGTCAGACCTGTGCGTTTACCAGTCTCCTTGACGACACGCATAACAAAAATTCCTTCACACTGCTTTCGTGACCTCGACAATGAATCGACCTCTTTCTGGCACGAAGAACACCGCATGGCTTCTTCCAACTTCGGCAGGATGCGATCGTCTTAGAACAGCAGACCGACTGGCGCCTTCGAGTACCGGTGAGCACACTGCCACGACGGCTCGATGAGAAACGATGACTAGCCAAAAGAAATTCTCGAGCTGAGGAAAGTACACCTTTTCAACTTCAAAACTGCAAATTGTAAGTTCAAAACAGCAAAAGGTAAGTTCAAAACTGCACGAGCAGAGACCAGGCTAGCTTCGTACTTTTATACACAGCTCATTGGTTGGCACGCAGCATAGCTAGCCAATAGGCAAATTGTACTCTATAATCGTATACGATGATAGATATCATTCAGTTTGTAATATACATTTATAGCGTATTGTTGTTTTGATGTTACCTTTTGCTGTTTTGAACTTACAATTTGCAGTTTTGAAGTTGAAAAGGTGTAGAATCGCTAGTGACACGGATGAAGCTTAAACGCGACACGGCGGTCACGAGCAGCAGCCGAGAGCTGCTTGAGCGCACGGCGAGCCGTAGCAGCCCAGTGGACTACGAACGACAAGGAAACCAAGTACAACCCGCTGGCCTTCCTCGAGAACCAAGGATTCGCGACCCAGCAAGACTTTCGGGCGTGGCGTACCAAGAACGGCTACAAGACCCTGCGCGACTTCATGGACCATGGCAAGTACACGGTGACCAAGGGCGCCGACTTCTCTTGCGGTTGGACCGACCCCAAGGGCACCCCGCAGCCCATTCCGGACGGAGACGCCATGCGCTCCACGGGCTACACCCACGATGGCCCGTGCGAGGTCTGGATCGACAACACGCGCGTGCTGCAGGGCGACAACTGCCACGAGAAGATCGCCGACAAGGGCTACACGATCGACTACTCGGCTTGTAAGGGCACGTGCACGCTCCGTTGGTACTGGCGCAGGTGTACAAGGCTTGCATCCCGCTGACGTCGGGATCGGACTCCACGCAGCAGCAGCAGCAACAGCAACAGCGCCTGCGGGTGTAAAGGGGCTGAGATTCTCAGTATGAGTGGTCATATTCGTGTATCAAGATGTCAGCAAATGCGTGTTTCTTGCTGTTCGTTTGCACCATAGCGCACCGGATTACAATCGCCATCAAAATGAGGCAGTGTCTGACTCATTCGGAGCTTGATTCCACTATCGCAGCATTCATTCACCGAGAGCTTACGCTAGTACATGTAACTTTGATCTCGAAACACTGGCAAGAGATTGAAGTTCGAGTTAACACGGTGAGTATCATGGGCTCCACTAGGTCGCTCATCATGGAATCGGAAATGCCACCAGTGTTAGTACTTGGAAAGACTTAGCCAAGATGCCAAGATGCACCGGTTTGCTAATACAAGTTCAATGACAGCATACACTGCCATTCAAGATCGTATAAAGAGCAGCGCACGGCGGACAGCCTGGCGCGTTGAAGACCCGCCGCGCAGACCGAGGGATGGCTTCGCCGGCGCAGGTTGATGCAGAGCGTGGGACGCCGAGCCCGTCTCGGAGTAATCGCTCCGTAAGCGACGTCGCTTGCAGTAGTAAGTCGGCGGCGCATCCACGCTTTGCGGTGTGTCTCCGGGAGAGGAGAAGCTCCCCCGCTTGAAGCCGCGGACACTTCAACCAGCGTTAGCAGCAGCAGCATCACTGGCGAAGCGGAGGGAGGGCCCATCCAGGCTTTTGGCCGCAGCCGGAGCCATTGTCGTAAGTGCTCGTCGTAGCGTCGAGTGGGTACGCCGAGCGATATAATACAGCAGGCTTACCGCCGGCGCAGTGCCATCATCGATGGGGATTCCCGGCGGTTGCTTTGCGGGCCGAGAAAAATCCCGCCACCCGAGGCTCGGGCGCTGCGACGGCCTCTTTGCCCACGCACAGATGGCGATCGAGCGCGCGCGCACGGCGGCCGAGTGCCTCGGGGCGCTTCCGCGTGAGAGAGCGTGACAGAGACTGCAGCGTGGCGCGCGGCCATCGGCACATCGGCCATCGGCGGTGCCTTCGTAGGGCCGGCTGAGACTGTATTGGGCGGAAGTCGGTGCGGCACGGGCGGCGATTGGCGCAAAGTGCGCGTTAAGTCGGCAGAATGCCATTCTGCCGACTTAAAATGGAATGGTAGGCTTCTCAACGTTCAGAATGCCATTCTGAGAATGGTGGTCGCGCGCGATTGCGCCGGGGGTGAATCCTGACAGCGGATCACGACGGCCGGTCGGACAAGCAATCCCGTCCAGAATGAATAGTATTATTGGACGCAGGTCATTGCGATAGGAAGTTCCTTCAGCCTGAAATAATACACCAAGATAAGAAAGTAATTTACCACAGCAATATCAGCTCACACAGACAGATCCGAAAACAAGCATCGACTTTCGCGGGGCGACATGTGGCCCTTGACCGTTTACGCATCGACCCAGGAGCAGAGCCGGGCCATATTACGCACCGCGGGCGGTCTCCTTTGCGCTGGACGGACGCGATTGCGCCGCCGCCGATTGATTCCCTCTCACTGCCCGCCCCGCAGCTCTCCATCCATCACTACCGAATTGGCCACCAGGAAGGCAGGCAAGTAAGGCAGGCAGGCAGCAACCTAGCTAGCCTCTAGTCTATTTCGACGACACCGAACGAGACAGCAGCAACGAACGACACCAACCACGATGCTCACGGCCCACCACCAACTGTACCAGCAGCACCGCCACTCGAGGTCGAGCTCGTCCGCTGGCGCGACGCC